AAAAGCAACATCTGCATCCAACCTTGGTCATTTGGTCACTTAGTCAATTATTAATTACGAAATCAATAATAAAGAAAGGGAGTATCTCCACAGATCTTGAATAGTGAATTTAATGTATCAGGCCATTATGATAAGAGGGAATACCCTGAAAATATTATGACCAGATACAGTGATATACAAAGGGTAAGTGACTATTCCCTGTACTGGGAAATGGGTTAGGTTCTTAGTTTTGAGATGTGGCCCATTGACTTTGGACAGACCCGGCTTAGCTCTAGTACAAAATCAATGTAGGTTTAATCTAAAAAAATGTTGAAGTCGATAACTATATAGAAGCACCGGACCAATGAACCCCTCACCGCCCCAAAAGAACAACAAACAGAGTTATGGTAAAGTAGGATTGGATAGAGTACCCAAAGGATTCCGCCCCGCCACCATCTCAGCCGAGAACCAAGCCGTGTACTCCAGCGTTGCTCTTATTTTAGATTGAAGTGAGGTATCCAGGGTGGGAATATACCACTTCCATGTGAGGAAGAATTTTTTAACCAAGATTTCATTTTAAGGTATAAAGCCAAGCCATTTAAAAAAAGAATTTGAGTTTGTTTAAGAATAAATTGAGTGGTGGAGCACCCGGTTGGTTCCAGACCTGAAGAATGGTCTTGTGGTCCACTGCTGCTATGATCGTGGAGAAATGTTTATGAGGCACAGGGTTGCCAGGAATAGGTCCCAACAAAAGGAAACTGGGATTTAGTGGCAATGGCGTCATATTGTTGTTCGTTAAATATTGTGCAACCTCCAGAAGCCCCGAATTAGGGGGCACTCCCACAGACAGTGATACAGGTCCGCTTTGGTGTAGATGCATTTGAAACAGGTGGAGGAGTCTTTCCTTGCCATCAGATGAAGTATATGTGGGGTAAAATATGAGTAGTGTGTGGTTTTCAGGAGTATGTCTCAATAAGAGACCATGGGGAGCAGTTGACTCTGTGTGTAATGTGCAATTAGGATGTCTTCAGGTGCAATGTCAGGGAAGTGTTTCTTCCACTTCCCCAGACCCGTTTGTAGTGTGTTCCAGTCAGGTTTGCATCGCAAAAGGACATAAAGGGTAGAAATGGAGTAAAAAGGCTGGATTATTGGTGCATAACAGATATACTCCAGAGAATTACTCAGAGACCGTGAACAAGGGTAAATGTAGAGATAGTGGGCTCACCCCTAACCTGGCCCGAGCCAATTTCCAAGCCTTAATGGGGATGGCCACTAGGGGGTTGGAAAGAATGCTGTCTGGGAGTAGATAATGTGGTCTGTGTAGGAGGGCCGGAAGGGAATCTAAGGCCAGGTCTGAGTATCTAGATTGTGATTGGATCCAGTCAAGCGCATGCCATAGCTGAGCTGCCAGACTGTACACTTTGGAAGATTAAGTCCTCCAGTGGATTTGGTTTGATAAAGTTTAGTTAAGCTCAGCCTGGCCCCCCGCCCCTGCCTCAGCTCTTTATTCAAAAGACATTTATCTTTTTTGGAAAGTAAGACTGGGAGCACCTGAAGCGGATACAGCACCTTTCGGTAACTAATCAATTTATAGAGATTGGCTCATCCTATATATGAGAGTGGCAGTTTGTGCCAATGTTCCAATTCAGTAAAAATAGAGGAGAGGATATGAGGAATATTCAATTTATACAAGGGCAATGTTTCTTGGGATCTTGATGCCCAAATATTAGGGCTGTTGGCTGCCACTTCAATGGCAGACCCAGACAACTAAGGGGGTGGTCCCCTTCCAAGATGTAGCGCACTGGCATAAAACTTCTCAAGTAGGTCAGGAATGGGTGGTATGGAAGAGGCTGGTTGCGAAGTGTAGAGGAGATGGTCATCAGCAATAGCCAAGACCTTCATAGTAACATCCCCCATTGGAATACCCCATAACCTGTTAATGACTTAATGGCTCGTAACAGTGGATCTATGGCTAGGTTAAATAGTAGCAGGGACAAGGGGCATCCCTGTCGCACTCCCCGTCCTAGTGTGAAGTATGGAGAGTCGAGTCCATTCGTCACAATGCAAGCTGTTGGGTTGTGTAGTAAGTTTTGGACAAAGGCTCCAAAGGTGTGCCCGAAATAGCGCAGTTTCAGTACATGTCTTAGATGTTGCCAAGTGATACTATCGAATGCCTTTTCTATATCAAGGCTGATGAGGGAATGGGAGGGAGATCCCACCCTTCCCCCCTCCCACATTCCCCCCACAACACCCATCACAGGGCCCTCCGGGACCATCTGCTTCCCCAACACAAACCCCAGTTGATGACCTGTGAGGATCCTGGGCAAGAATGATTGAACTCTTAAGGCTATGATTTTAGTGAGAATGTTAAAGTCCAAGTTGAGTAATGATATATGTTGGTAAAATACCAAATCTTCCACATCTCTACACGGTTTCGTAATAACACCGTACGTGCCTGATTAAGGGAATCTAACAAAAGTCCCTTTAACCCCTTAAGGACACATGACATGTGTGACATGTCATGATTCCCTTTTATTCCAGAAGCTTGGTCCTTAAGGGGTTAAATAAATCTAGTTGAAGAGGGCCTTAAAGGTGGGACTGATTTGGTGTTTTAGAGTTTTATAACAATCAACGGTGTATCCATCTGGGCCTGGACCCTCCCAATACCCGATCTAAGGGACGTAATGCCTAAATGGATTTATTTTTTAGTGATAGGAGTGCTTAGGAGTTCCCTCAAGTCCCCATCTAAGTGAGGCAGGTTCAGATTTTTAGGAAAGCCATACCCTGGTCATGATGATCAGTCAGAGATATCGATTATTATATGTCTTTTATTTTCAATTTTAATACCATGGCCCCTTATGGATTAAATTTAGACTTTGAATTATGTCACTTTTTATAACAGAAAGAGATATACATTATATTTATTAGCTAATGATATATTATACTGCTTCTCCTCACCCTTCCAGTTTTTTATAAAAGTATTTTTTAATAATTTTAGGAACATACCATTATTATTATGCACATAATAGAAGTAATAATGTTCACTTATATTTGTATCAATGGTGATACCTTTTTGTGTTGCAACATATTTTATTAGTTTCTCTCTTTTTCTTTCTATTGATCTTTTCTTGAGATTATATGGACTGGAAAATTGAGGACTCTTGTTATAATAAATAAAAAAAGATTATGGAACGCAGATGGTGCGTTCCACGAAGAATGCGGAAGTAAAATGGCTAGATTATATTATCTAAGACTGTGGAACGCATGTGCGTTCCAACGAAGAAGAAGGAAGTGGAATAGTCTAATCATGTGACTGACGCACGCACGCGTGTACGTGCGTTCCAACCAGTGCGGCGTGCGTTCCACGAAGTCAACTTCCGGTCCGGCAGATGCCGGCAATTTTATCATTTCTGATTCGTATAAAACAACAAGAGGACACACAATGAATACACCAACTGAGGAAGCCAGTCCACTGGCGAAACGCGTTTTGGGAACTTATTGGCATCATTTAAAGTATTTTGATCCATTTTTGTTTTTAGATGTTTTAAGCTTATGTTTTTATAAATAAATTTTGTTCATACCGTCCTGTGGAGTCTGCAATTCCATTCCTACCTCAATTCAAGGAGGAAGACATCAAGAGGAACAAACAGAGGGTGGTGGATCTCCCCTAAAAGATCCTAAGGCGCTTACCACTAGAGCCAGGTGTCCTATTGGCTCCACCTTTGTGAGTTACCCATTTAAAAGTCCTATTTTTATGTCTATTCATTTGTAACTATTGTCTGCACTTAGATCTGTTACCATTTACTTACAGATTCTTATCTTGACAATATTTGTATCCATCTTTAATATATTACTGCTCATACAGGTAATACAGAGCTCCGCTTATATTTTGTTTGATTTGCATGTTTTATGTTGTGGAGGTTAAGGGATTCCTTCACTTAAGTGTCAGAGCCTGTTTTTTCACCTTGCTGAATTTGTGTGCACCGTTCCTATTTTGTATACAGAGATATCGATTATTGTTTAAAATTAGTCGTAAGATGTAAGCTGGACTCCTTCCGGCGAGGTGATTGCCGTTATTGGCTTGAACCTAGCTTTACGGTTGGCCATATGGGTCAACAACTTCCCAGACCTTCCCCCTCATCTGAAAAAGTGTCTGAAAGTCGAATTTTGATTGATCATAATTGGTTATGTAAGTGTTTAGAGAGGATTTAGTGTCAAGGTAGGTTTGTTTTCATCAGATGGATTAGCTAAATACCTTGTGTGAGATTGTTTAAGGTCTGCTTCTAGAACAGCATAGTCCTTCTGCCATTTTTTCTTAGCAGATGAAGTATAGGAAATTATCTGTCCCCTCATGACTGCCTTGGACATCTCCATGTGTTCTAGATTGTCATCCAGGAAGTTCGCCCAGTGAGTCTGGAACGATGGCTCTCTTGTGAGATATGTAGGGAAGCGCCAGTGTCTAGTACGTTGGGGGATGGCAGCGTGGATACCATCATTGTAAAGGTGCGTGGTCAGATATCGCAACTGATTCAATGGTCGGGGTCACTAAAAACATGTCTATTCTAGAAAAGAAATTGTGTACCAGAGAATGGAAGGTGTCAAGTAAATTATAGGAGGACACAAGATGGGAAAGACTGCGGTCACTGTCTGTGGGAGGAGTCAAACCCCGTGAGGATCTGTCCCTACTTGGCTCCAATACCGCATTAAAATCACCCCCCCCCCCGACTATCAGTTGATCAATATCTATTTGAGTGAGCAGGGCCAGATGTTTCATGAAGAAAGGACCCAGGGAAGTGTTAGGAGCATATATATTAACAATGCAGTAACAAGTTGAGTTAACAGTTACATAGTTACATAGCTGAAAAGAGACTTGCGTCCATCAAGTTCAGCCTTCCATTCTCTGGTACACAGTAAGACATAGTACAATATACCGACCCTCCGGGTCAACATCACAGCTGTGTATTACATATTGGAGGCTGGAATGCAACAAGATTGCCACCCCTTGTGCTTTGGAATTATATTTAGCTGCTATACAGGATTGGATCCAGGGAGCTTTGAGCTGCGTATAAGCCGACTGTGACCAGTGAATCTCCTGTAGTAGGGTAATGTGCGGTTGTTGTTTGGTTAAATAGGTCAAAATTTTCTTTCTTTTGATGCTGAACAGCGTCATTGAAATTTAGAAATTTTGCTATTATTGGTCGTGACTTGGTGGTGTCACCGGGCCGTTCAGGGCCTAATCTGTGTGCCCGTTCTATAACAATGGGAGTGGAGGCAGAGGTGCCCAGCTTTAGAGTATCTTGTAGCAAGCTTTGAAGAGTGGAGATAATGTCAGAAGAGCTCAAAGATTCAGGGAAGCCCACAAATCTTAGATTGTTTCTCCTACTCCAGTTAAGATCATCTAATATATCCTGTAGGGGTGTTAAGGTATCGTTTTGTCTTCTTATTGTTGATTGTAGTTGGTGAAGTCTGTTTTCAGTTGTGCTTTGTCTGGTTTCTAGTAGAGTTATTTGAGTAGAATGGGATTGGAGTAAATGGACTGCATTATCAATAGATTCTTTAAGGTCCTAGAATTGGGAATCAAAGATCGGTTTGATGAGATTAGACACCTCACGGGCTGTTTCTGGAGCTTGCTGTGAGATGAGAGTAGATGCAGTGAGGGGCGGGAGAGATCCCCATCCATAACAGAGACAGTAGAGGAAAGGGCCGGTGTGGATGGATTCTCTGTAGTGTTGTTTCTTGGCAGGTCTTTGAGGTTTGCTGCTATGTCATTTGGAGGAGGTCTATCCATAATGGAGAAGAGGGGAGAGATTAGAGCAAACAAGGGGTGTTAGTAGAGAAGAGAAAGAGTCAGGCCAACTGTAGGAGTGTGATGGAAGTGGGGGGAGTGAGGAAGTGACTGTAAGTATTATTGTGAGGTGGAGGAGTTGCGAGGAGAAGGATCAATTTGTGTCTGTGTTATGTGTGGAAGTATATGGGCCTGAGGCTGTTATAGTGTTAGTGAGCGAGTGTGAAGAGTAGAAAGGAAAGGTGACAGGAAGGAGTCAGGGATCTAGAAAAAGAGCATAGTTAGGTCAGATAACCATTAGAAATATTGAATGTTGTCTTGGTCAGGTTCCAAATATACTGGTAAAAAAGGAAGAAGCTCTTGCAGTATCCTTTGTAATAGAGAAAGAATCTTCCCCTACCAAAGGTAGGCTGAATGGTATATCAAAGTGGTTATTGTTAAGTAGAGAAAAATAAAAATAAACTTAGGTATTTACATTACTTGTGAGTAGAAGCTATAGCTGTTGGTTAGCTGAACCCACTTGCAGTGAGCTGCTAGCAAAGATTTTTCAGAAGCTCTAATGTTGCAGTGAAGAGGGCATGTGAAGGCCCTTGCACATGGAAATTTCAGCCAGTGGTGAGAGAATAAAAAAAAAAAAATAGTTTCAACAAAAATGAGGTGTGTACAGGTATTCCTGTCTGGATACGTTTGGATCCTCAGTGTAATGAGTGGTAGATGTATTCTGTCAGAAGGAAAATGGAAGTAAGAATCCTTAGAGTGGCACTGTAGTGTTATTTGGGTTCTTGCAGTGGCCCAAAGCGTAGCAGAGGCCTATGGAGTGGCTACAGCAAGGGATAACGTGCGACTGCAAGAGATATTTTTCAGCAGCCAATAATGAAGAACAAAAACAAAAGTCAACAGAGGTATGTACAATGCATGTAAGCAGACATTTATGATCTTTCCTAAGACTTTTTGTGAGCTAGATTCACAGAGTGGTTGTCAGATATCAGTGCTGCATCTTTATGTTCTTTGTGTAGTGAGGTAAGAAACAATAGAGATAGGGAAGGAGTATACAGAAATCCTTCTACTTGTGATGTCTCCCAGTTGGTATTATTGATAAGCCTGCAGTACAAGTGAAGTGACAGCTTGCCACTGGTCCCTAGAATGGCACAGGCTTGAGAATAAAGTAGTAGGGAGGTCAGTAACAATTGCATGGGTAAAATAAAAATAGTAAAAATAAAACTAAAACAAAAAATAAAAACAACCTAAGTATATACAGTACAAGCAGCTGTATGATAGCCTGAGTTTAAAATTGAGGCCTGGGAGGTATGTGAATAAGTGTCACCTGGTCCAAGGCCATGGGGTGAGCTGAGGGACTGTGAATACACCAGCAGCCACAACCTGTCAGCGTGTTTCCTCTCAGGGGTAGTGTATTATGCAGTAACTCAACTGTGTGTGGTCTAGGGCGGCTGCACAGGAGGGTGAGTTCTGTGAGTATAAGGCACAGCCTTAACAGGTGTTGTGGTACCTGTAGTGATATCCACCGCAAGTAGTGTGTGTCCTCTGGCGTCGGAGATCTTTGGTAAACCCCCGCCTCTCCGATTCCCAGGTTAATGGAGCAGGGAAGCCTCAGTATTTCCCCCAGCAGCTGCGGTCATGTAATGTGGCCTATCTCAATGGCCTTGACTTCCAGCCTTTGCTCTCAATGTGTGGAGCAGCGAGCAGAATTCCAAGTGGGTCCCTAAAAGGGGTCTGTGTGGTCTGTATGTATTATTTGTATGAGGGAGAGGCTTCTTCTGTAGGTCTGCATATATCTAACCATGTGGGTGGCTTCTCTGGGGTCCACTAGGGACAAGTCTGGCTAGGTACTTGTCCCTAGCAAGAGTTGCAATATCTGCTGTGGGCTTCTCTACTCCAGTGCTGGTTCCCATTCACAAGTGCTGGAAGAAATTATCTCCCTCTAATTGCTGCAATGCGTAAATTGAGGATTGTCCCTCACCACCTGCAATCACCGCTCACGTTGCACTAGTAGATATCAGAACTCCCACTGGGTCTTCTGATAGGCCAGAGTCTGTTTTACTCTGGCAGCCTTGAGTGCCGTTCAAAGGCACCTCAAGTGCCATGCATGACACCCATGCCCTAGGTTGCTGACCCCTGGTATAGTATATAGTAGTAATTATTTCTAATCATTATTAGTTATATGTGTTTTTCTACTAGCACCTGACACCCCTGGCGTGTTTTATTATTCACTGTCTGACCTGATCTTGGGACCAATCAAATTCCATAGATGGTGAACCAGAAGTAATAGTTAGCTCCCTGGTTCCAGGTGTGTTGATCTTATTTTTATTTCCTATATCAGCTCCTGTGCTGCTACAAACTTCCTTAAAAGCTAACTCCATATCCAGACCAACTTGTAAACTAGTGTGCAATATATTTGCAAGTAGGTTCCATGAGTACAAAATAGGGCCTCGGCACCCAAATTACAAATTACAGAAATCATATCTTTTTAACCACTACCTTGTTCCTCACATTTTCTCTCTCCAGAAAGTTCCTTCAGCATCTCATCATAGAGATGAATTGAATCAATGAATCTCTATGAGGAAAGTTCAGGGTCTGCTTGCAGAGGGAGGAGACACTGAATGTTTGGATGCATTTTAGGCGGTCATGACCCAGGAAGGATATCTAACAGCTATCTGAAGCTATCTGAAGAGTTATCACTAGGCTGTAATGTAAACACTGCATTTTCTCTGAAACAAACAGTGTTTACAGCAAAAAGCCTGAAGCCTGAAGCCAATGATTCTCTTCACCAGAACAAATGCAAAAAGCTGTAGTTGTTCTGGTGACTATAGTGTCCTTTTAAATGTACCACTACCATGTGAAGTGGTTTTATTGCCTGTTGAGGTTCTTTAAAAAGGTTATTACCTATACTGGCTGAAAGTCTGACAGCCACTAATTGAACAGTAATTAGTGATGTACCGAACGGTTCGCCGGCGAACATAGCGTGTTCGCGTCCGCCGCGGACGGCGAACGCATGCGCGGTTCGATCCGCCCCCTATTCGTCATCATTGAGTAAACTTTGACCCTGTACCTCACAGTCAGCAGACACATTCCAGCCAATTAGCAGCACACCCTCCCTAGCAGACCCTCCCACCTACTGGAAGGCATCCATTTTACATTCATTCTCAAGCTGCATGCTTAGTGAGAGGAGGGAAAGTGTAGCTGCTGTTGATTAGATAGGGAAAAGCATAGCTAGGTTAGGGTATGCTTTTTTTTTTTTTTTGTGTAATGTAATTGCAGTTAGTTGTCTGCCACTGCTGCCAGCTTCTGTGTCAGGCTCACAGTGGATACTGTGCCCATTTCCCCAGTCAGTGCCACCACTTATATCTGGTGTCACAATAGCTTGCATTTAAAAACAAAAAACTTTTTTCACTGTTATAGATTGAATAGCAGTTAGTTGTCTGCCAGCGGGTGTGTCAGGCTCACAGTGGATACTGTGCCCAGTGCCACCATTCACTCACTGGTACCCGGACGAAATTTATTTTCACAAAAGGCAATCCCCAACCTGTACTCGATTGTGCAAAAGGAAATAATGGCATGTCTGGCACACAGTGTTGGGGCAAGCATCCATCTGACCACTGATACCTGGTCTGTAAAGCATGGTCAGGGCAGGTATATCACCTACACTGCGCATTGGGTAAACCTGCTGACTGCTGCCAAGCATGGAATGCATGGCTCTGCAGAGGAGTTGGTGACACCGCCACCACTTGCAGGCAGTCCTGCTGCCACCTCCTCTACTCCTCCTACTCCATCCTCTTCCATAACCTCCTCGGCTGAGTCCTCTTCTGCTGCTGCGTCTTGCTCCACATCAACGGATAGGGACGTAACAGTGATTAAACTGATAACAATAGTACTAAACACACCACTCCTATCTGGTGGCACATTAGATTGCACGCGCAGTGCCCCAAATTTGTTGTGATCTGTGAGTAAGGTAAACGGTTGTCCATACAAGTAAGGTTGCAGCTTTTTGAAGGCCCACACCACCGCCATGCACTCCTTTTCAATGGCAGTGTATCTACTTCCCTGGGCAAAAGTTTCCGGCTTAGATAAGCCCCGGGTTGCTCGCCACCATCTGCTCCGACTTGGCTCAGTACTGCTCCCAATCCAAACATAGAAGCATCTGTATGGACGAAAAAGTGTTTAGTTGGATCAGGAGCAGAAAGTACAGGTGATTTAATGAGCGCCGTCTTGAGCTGTTGGAAGGCCTGTTCACACTCTGGGGCCCATACTACTATCTTGGGGAGGTTTTTACGCGTTCCTATATGGCACTTACTGGGCTTTAGGGTCAGTCTGAACTCCCTAATCCGGTCTAGTACAGCTCCTATGTGGGTCAGGTGTTCGGGCCAGGAGCAGCTAAAAATGGCTATATCATCCAAGTAGGCGCAGGCATACTCCTGAAACCCATCCAGTAGCCGATCTACCATCCTCTGAAAGTTAGCCGGGGCAGTCTTCATCCCGAATGGCATGACCTTAAACTGATACAGGCCAAACAAGGTGACAAATGCCGACTTGTGGATGGCGTCTTCGGCTAATGGAATTTGCCAGTACCCCTTGCACAGATCTATTGTGGTGAGGTACTGGCCTCTGGCCATTTTGTCTAGGAGCTCGTCTATCCGGGGCATAGGATAGGCGTCTGAAGTTGTTCACATGGAGCATGCGCTTCCCTCCCATGCCTGTGACCGCACCGATCACAAAGGTGGTATCACAAACCTGCTCTACCACCTTGTATGGGCCCTGCCAGGAAGTCTGCAGCTTGTCCTTGTGGACAGTGTCAATCCATATCTGCCAAGTGACCTGATGTAGGAGGAACAGTCCCTATTCTGCTCTGTGTCAGTGTGTATCAGGGGCTCTGAGGACAGGTGTCAATCCATATCTGCCAAGTGACCCGATGTAGGAAGAACAGTCCCTATTCTGCTCTGTGTCAGTGTGTATCAGGGATCCCTAGGACAGGTGTCAATCCATATATG